ACTAGGATTAGGGTGGGGTTTAAACCCCCACCCTGGCCTGCATTGTCCCTAGCCATGGTGTGCCTGGAGGGGGAGGGGGAAGCAGCCTTCACCAGGCTTTTTCCCCCACTTGCTTCTCAAGGGGCAGGTATGTTGCCAGACCCTGGCCCCTAGCTAGCACTCTGAAGCAAAGGGCAGGGAGTGGAGGGGGGAGGGGGGGGAGAGAGGACTGCTTGTGTGGACTACATTTGGCTGTTGACACTGAGATTTTCAGTTTCCCTCTCCCTGCTTCTTCATACTCTCTGCAGCTGACAGGCACTGCATTCATTGCAAACCAGGTCATTTCTCTCCCCTCTCAGCAAGCCAGCAGCCAGCATGGAGCTCATCAGAACACAAAGGTTATCAGCCCATCAAGAAAACAAACCCTCTCTCATTAGTTTAAGCTCTTCTTACACAACTTTTTGGAAAGTATTTTTAAGGAAGGACAGAGGGACATTACCAGCTGACCTGTTGATTAGCTCCAAAAAGCCCTAAGTGAACACTGTTCTGTCTGCTTTTGTTGTAGTGAAATTGGAGACACACACACATAGGACATTTAACAAGGATGTGGTAAAGCTTGAGAGAGTCCAGAGAAGGGCCACCCATATGATCAGAGACTTGCACGACAAGCCATACAAGGATAGGCTGAGGGACCTGGGACTCTTCAATCTGAAAAAGAGAAGGCTGAGAAGAGACTTGGTAGCAGCTTACCGTGACATCAGGAGAGTACATCAAGGGTTCAGTGAACAACTGTTCACCAGGGCACCCTTAAAACTAGGAGTAATGGCCACAAACTCCTGAAAGATCGTTTCAGGCTCAATATTAGGAAAATTTTCTTCACAGTTAGGGTGTCCAGACTGTAGAATAAGCTCTATCCAGAGGTGGTGCACTCACCTACCCAGGAAATCTTCAAAAGGAGACTGGACAGTCACTTTGCTGGGGTCACCTGACCCCAGTTGTCTTTCTTGCCTGATGCAGGGGGCTGGACCCGATGATCTTCTGAGGTATTGTCCAGCCTTACAATTATTGAATCTATGAATAGACACCTCTCAGCATTAGCTAGCATGGGGGTGGCATGACTGTGACCAGATGCTGGCTAGGGCCTGAGCTGCTGGGGTCCATGCTGTGGGAGAGGGGAGGGAGGGTAGGGATCCTGCTTGAGCAGTGATGGGGCAAGGGGCAGGGGGAAGCCAGGCAGACGCTGCTGTGCCTGCAGTCTCCACCTCCTTCTCAGCCAGCCAGAGCTCTGGTTAGGGAGGACAGGAGTGGGGCCAGCTCTGCTTTCTGGAGCAGACAGCCCAGCCCAGCCCAGCCCAGCCCAGCAAAGCATGCTGGGCGACTGATTTAACTTGAGTGAGGAAGGGGTCTGAGACATAAATTTCATAAACCAGTTTGACCCAAATCAGTTAAGTCTGATACTACATTCAACCAGGTTTATCTTAAACTAGTTGTGGCCATTTTGAAACAGGGTTATGTGCACTGAACTTCTGTTCTGTTACAGGTTTAAACCAATTTCTGATCAGTTAAACCAGCTTATGTGTAACTTCTGTCCCTAGCCTGCCCAATTTTCGTTCAGTCCTTTTGTGTGTACGCTTTACAATACAGATTTTAATTACGTGATCATGTACTGTTTTTCTGTAGGATCTTGCCTCATTCAGGACAGAAGATGCACCCAGTCTGGTTATAAATAAAGTTGTATAGTGAAAGGAGGTAGCTATCCTGTTTACTAGAACATCTGCCTCGTTTGTTCCAGGAATTAAATGCTGTCCTGGGGAACTGGGGTGTCTCCGTACCTCTGCCACAGGGTTGTTAGGTGCTCATTTTGTATTTCTCATTTTCCGGGTGACTTTGGGACCAGATTTACAGCTATGTAGGAGACTCTTTGATGCAGCTAAAGTCAATGAGATCTGGGCTTTGAAATTCTTTAGTGCACCAAAATGTTGAATTTTCTAAAATGTCCGGTTTTAAGCATGTCAGATTGATCTTCTCCAATCAGTGCATGTTTTAGATCAAGTCTGTCCATCTTCCAAATAGCAGGGGCTGCACATCAGTGAGGGCTGCATACTGTAAGGGCCACACTAGATGGAGCTATGGATCGCTGGGCTGTGTGCTGTGCAGTAGGGCTGTGCGAAACAGCAACGTTCTGCTTCAACACCCATTTCAACGAAACAGTGTTTTGTTTCAAGTTTTGTTTAGTTTCGAAAGCACTGTTCTGTTCCATTTCAATCAAACGATTTAGGTTTTAATGCTGTTTTGACGTTTTGCCGATAAGCTATAATGGGGAAACACAAAACAGTCTATAACTTTCTTATTTCTTGCCTGATTGCGATGAAACTTGCAAGGATGGTAGCCTCTTCTGAGGACACAAAGCCTGCCAGGTTTCAAGGAGATAGGTGCAGGGGTTTCTAGGAAGCCACCTCAGACTGCTGACAAGCAGGAGCTGGGGAGCAGGAGTAGCATCCTGTGATCTGGCAGGCAGATGGGGTGGGGGGTGGGCCCACACCCCCGGAAGGAGTCCAGCAGAGCCCCCGCAGCCCTCCTGGGTGTGTGTTCGGGCCCCTGATCTGCCTGCTGGATAACAGGAGGCTGGTGCTGCCACTGGCCCCAGGTGGCAGAACCAATCTTCCCAGCACTGAGTGTGGGCTGCACCCAGCACTGTCCCAGGTGGCAGGAGCAGCCTCCTGTGATCCAGCAGGCAGATCAAGGGCCCACCTGCACCCCCAGGAGGAGTCCAGCAGAGCTCTGCAGCCCCCCTGAAGGTGTGGGCCCCCGATCTGCCTGCTGGATCACAGGAGGCTGCCCCTGGCTCCTGCGTGTCACCACCCTGCTGGCCAGATCACAGGATGCTGCTCTTGCCGCTTGGGACCCAGTGCTGGGGAACTGAGCCCGGCTGGGGGAAGTGCCTCCTCCAGCCTGGCTGAGTTCCCAGCTGCTGGCAGCGTTGGGGAACTCAGCTGGGCTGCAGGAGGGGCTTCCTCTAGCCCGGCTGAGTTCCCCAGCGCTGGGATCAGCTTGGCGCTCTCCCCTGTCTCCCACCACCTGGCTGGCTGCTTCAAAATTTGAAACGTTTCAAAACATTTGAAATGTTTTGACTAGCCTCATTTCATTTTGAGGTTGTTTTGAAGCCCTTTGTTTCATTTTGATTTCACTGTTTCAAGCTCAAAACGAGTCAAAACAACTTCGAAATGAAACAGCTGTCGAAGCTTTGCAGACATCCCTGCTATAGCACCACACATCTGCACTCCCTTCCATGCTGTGTACCCGCAAGGCCCTGGACTCACCTCCCACTCCCTGAACTCTGTGCTGCATTGCCCTGCCCCTGAGAGAGGGGCAGTGAGTTGCAGCCAAAGAAGGTGGGGTGGGGGGGAGCCCAGAGCCCTGTGGATGGAGAAGCCCAAAGCCCCGTTTTGCTGTTGCTTCTGGAGTGATAGGCAGAGCAGCAGCTAAGCAGGAGCCCGGGGGTTCACAATTTAACCCCTTGCAGGCCACATGCAACCCACAAGCTGCCAATTGGATAGACCTTCTTTAGATCTAAATCATTCTTTGCCTCAAATCCTTCTCTGAAAAAAAAGAATACAATTGTGACCTAATTTTAGAGTAATTTTGGAATATAAATGAATTAACCGTTATCAGTTGCTCAAATAATATGGAGAAACTATCGTAGAAATCCTTCTGAGGATGATTATGTCTAGATCAGGGTTTAGCTCTGAGCTCCAGTGACATATTTCAAATGTTGAGGATAAAAGGAAATGCTGAATACTTGTTCATTCACAGAGCACTGCCCCTTTTGTGCACTGAGTAAGGTTGGGGTCCTGTAGAAAAATAACATGCAACCATATAATTAAAGATAGAATCGTTTGATCATGTATAGATGATTGCACAGCTAATAGCAATTCTGGCATTTCCAAAATGTGAGTCCTTGGTTTCACAATTCTTATGATCTTATAATGAGTGTCATTTAAAAATATTAAATCATTCTACTGAAGTGGCAAAAGCAGTCCTTGATGAGTTTTCTACCTACTACCACCTCTTTTCCCTCTGCAGAGGAAGAGCATGCTCTGTCTAAGAGCTCCTCCTACCTGGGGATATCATGGATAAATCCTACAGGAATGCTCTCTAAGATCATTAAGGATATTCTAACTGATCGTCCCCTACACCATCATGTCCATAACTTCCTAAGAGGTCTCCAGTTGCACAAGGACTACTATCAACAGAGCCCATTTTCTATCTGGAAAGGTAATCCCAACCAATCAGCATCCTCACACTGGGTTGCTATATTACAGACTTTTCAAGCGTTGCCTTCTCAAGAAAGGCAACTGAAGAGGTTTCCAAGAAAATTTTAAAATGACTTGTCTACTCTTCTTCTTCCTCTTTACCTTTTTTTTATGACACTAATCATTTTAGGGAGCTTTCTGCTGCCAATGTATTCTGGTGTTCTGGAGCCAGTTTTGCTTTCTCCATAACCATCCAGCCTTTGGTGCCACACTTGGGGAAGTAGAAAACAGTTTTATCTGTGTTTATTTCCTTTTCTCAAAGCAGTTGCTTTCTCCAAGATGTTCCTTTTTCTTAAAGATGCCAGCAATCTCTGGTTTTACAAAGATCACTTTTAATGCACAGAAAATGTTATTACTCATATGTGCTCAAATTTATAGTGCAGTGGATTGGATAACTGATGTGGGGTCTGTCCCTGGGCTGGATCAGACCCCATGCACCAGGATTAGGCCTTAAGCCATCTCCTTTAACCCCTCACCACAGGATCAGGCCCAATGCCGCCTCCCTGGGGCTCTGCACCCCTGGGGCTATGCTACCCACACCATCTCTGGGGCTCTGCACCACCCGCACAGCCTACTTGGAGCTCCTTGCTGCCTTCTTTAGTTCTGTACTGCCCACACCGCCTTCCACAGCTCTGCACTGCTTCTTTCAGCTCCGTACTGCCCATGCCACTTTCCTGAGGCTGCATACCTGGGGTCCTACACTGCCTCTGCTTGGCCCTATGCTACAGTATCAGGCCCTACACCACCTCTAGCCAGGCCCTGGGTGTCCAGCTGGGGCCCTGGGCCATGTCTGGATGCTGATCCAGCATGCTATCCAATCCATGGGCTGCCCACAGGTCTGGAAATTTATCTGTGGCTGAGTGGTAACTACTGCCACTGCCAAATCTTTGGACCTGTTGGGATCCCTGAGGGCTGGATGGCACGGCTCCATGGGCTGGATCTGGCCTGGAGGCTGGAGGTTAAGCACCCCTGCTATTACCCTTTCCTTCCTAGCTGGCATAAATAGTCACTTTTGCCTCTGCACATTTTAAAATGGTATCTCTGAGGCATGTCTGAACAAACCTTCACTGAGCAGGTTTTGGCTTTTTGGTAGGGGTTGGAGAATAAAAAAAAAAAAAAAAGTATATAAACATCAGATACTTAATACAGGCAGTCCTCGACTTGCAATGTTTCGAGTTACAGCATTTTGCACTTATAATGTTTATAAATTGACACCCTGTTTCAACTTTATGATGTCAGTTTCGACTTTACAATGCTTGATCAGATGTGATGCCATGCCGGCGAACAAGTTTGCTGCATCGCTCATCTCCCTGGAGAACATCTGTCCAAACTTCCTTGGACACTTTCTTTCAGAAAGCAGACAAGACTCCAGAAAAACCTGCAGCTAAGACTCCTGAGAAGACTCCAGTCAAGAGCCCTTCAAAAAGTCCAACCAAGAGCCTTTCAAAAAGTCCACCAAAGTCACCTCAAAGAAATCCTTCCAAATCAATATGATTGCTATTTACAATATAAATACATTCATGTAGCTATATTACTCACCTATAATTGATCGAGTACAAAATTCTGGGATATTTATGGTGAAAATAGGGTATTGGGTCTTGGTTCAGGAACCAATCCCCCATTTATAACATTGTTTCTTATGAGAAAATTGGTTCTGAGTTGCAACATTTTGACATAAGACACTGTTTTCAGGAACCAATTGTGTTGCAAGTCCAAGGACAAAAGCCTGTACAAAGCTCTGTGAAACCACTAGAATAGATTTAATGTCATAATCCATTACAAAGAATTACCAGCCTATCAGCTCCTTCAGGAAAATAGATTCTGAATGCTTCTTTGGGGGGAATAAAGGTATGAGTTTTCATGGGATAGATAGGAAAACCTTCAGAAATGTGTTGTTCCACACTTTTATAAAGAAGGACTGAGGGAGGAGTTAGGGTTCTGCCCCTTCCCCCCCCTTCCCTCCCCCCTGCCCCAAGAATGGCTTTTTAAGCCTCAGTTTTGTTATTGCTGATGAACATTATGGGGGAAGTAAAGATTAAACACTGAGTTTAAAAACCTCCTTTCTTTAGTCAGTTCTTTCAAAATAAGTTTGATGCTGCCATGAGACAGCAGCATTCCCAAGGCAATCAGATACAATCAGATTCTTATTTCTTCTCTTTATGTATAAATTGGAAGAGAATAATCCAGATGAACTGTAAACTAATAGCTAGAATTACCTGCTTTTTAGATTCTCAGCTGGATGTGTTCCCTAATCAGCTGACACCCTCAGAAGATGACCTATGTCTGGTAGATGCTGCATATTTCATCAATACCAGTTGTCAACCACTCTTGAGGAAAGAGAGGAATGTGAACATCATCCTGTCATTTGATTACTCCCTGAGCACAGCATTTGAGGTATTTGATTTAATTTTTCTTTCCTTGAGATCATCATTTTTTTAATCATATTGTTTAACTTGACTACAATTATTGAGGAGCTGTCAAGACTGACAAATGCTAAATATGGCCCTACTCTTAAATCTACCGTCTTTACCTCACAGGTACCATCCTTTTTATAAAATATACTAGCGTAAAAACCCATAAAAATGATGGGCATAAATAGGTTACTTGTTACAGAGTATCACATTTCTGTAATCCACTGTGTCATTACCAACTTGAGCTGTTCTGCCTGGTTCTCCTTTATACAACGGGTGTCCATCAACGTTTCCAAGTGTCACCTCTAAATTGCTTTGGATGTTTCTTCTGACATTGATGATTTTCCGTGCATTTGGATTCAATCTTCCACATGGTCCATGAATCATACATCTCGTCATAATGATCTTTGCGCAACAGGCAATGCACTATTGTACGATCAAATGTTTGTTTCAAAGTTCTGGTAATGCTCGTTATTCCAATTTGTCATCAAATCCTGCAGATACTCTGGAAACAGTCTTCTTGGAGGCAGAATCACTTTACCCTTATGACAACAACTCTGGAATTGACCATCTGACGGTCTTTCAGCTTGAAAGTTTAAAGAGTTACAAAATTGGCACACCACGTTCATCAATCCACAACTATGTTCCTCAATCTCTTCTTCAGTGAATCTATTGTTGTCTACTCTTTCAGCCTGTCTTCTATTGCCTGTGCAAACACTTTGCCTTTCCATTGCATCTCTTCTACAATGTCCTCTTTGCTAACTTGTTTCATTTTGCCTTACTCTTGCCATTCTTTCTGCATTCAATTGCCGTCTATTCTGTGCTTCACCTTGGTAAGGGTGTAACGGGTTAAGATAAAAGTAAGGGTGTTAAGGGACAACTTTTGCTCAGATACCGAGAGATACACCATAACTAATTGAAACCAATCACTAGAAATCCAGAAAGATGAGCGCAAATGTTTTCTTGAGCATGGCAGACAGAATGACAAACACACAAACAAAGCAAATTATTATAAAAGATATGGTTATAGTTAAAATAACTCTTATTTTAGTTTAAGTCCTGAAGGTACAGACTTAATATATCTGAGATTCTTAACTTTGTGAATGCAGTGCTCTTTCTACAAATCCACACATACAAATAGAAAGTGAACTTAACTAGAGAATTAATCTTCATGAGCATATTGTTTGTAAATAAGAAAAAATAAAAATGTAAGGCTTATTTTAACCATAGTTATATGTGGGGAACAATTAGCCAAGACTGTTTCAACGGGCTTGCAACCCTAAAGACTTTTCAAAATTGGGGCAAAAATAACAAATTATTTTTGTCGCATCAGGAGAAAACCAGTAAGAATAAGTTTGCATTTATAACCGTCATCTGGCCAACATGGCTCACAGGCTCTAACAGACCCACAAGTCAACTACGTAAGCTTACATAAAAATAAAAAACAAAATAGTTCATCTCATAACACCACTAGATAGTTAACAGAAGTAGCTGTGTTAGTCTGCAGTCAGATAGAGGCCTTGGGGCCCCCAAGGTGATAGAGGGAGTGGGGCGGGTGGGGGGGGGCAGGGGCTGGGGTGAATAAGACTCCAGGTCTGGGACAGACCATGGGACTGAGCCATGGGAGGCTTGTCTAGGAGTGGGGAGGGGGGCTCCCGTACGCTAGCTGAGTGTCCCTTGCCCATGCAGTGGCAGAATGCATAACATAGCATCATGTACGCCCTCCCTCACCATAGGGGCTTTGATCTGCTCCCCTCCTTCCCCCACTCCTTCCTTTTCCTCCTCCACAGATTTATCTGCTGGGTGCTGCTCTACACATCGCTGGGCTGCATTCCTGGCTGCATGCATGCTGCAGCTGCGCATTTGCATGTGGCATCCCAATGCAGCACTGATATATCAGGGCACCTCTAGTCTGTCTTTGTCTGTCTGTCTGTGTGGCCCCTCCACTGTCCCTTCTGCTGCAGCAGCCCAGAGCCTGTGCTGCCCTGCAGCTCCTCTGTACTACCACCGCTACCCAGCTGGGTGGGCTGGAGGTGGTGGTGGCAAAGAGGAGCCCAGGTGCAGGCTCCAAAACCACGTCCGTGATTAACATGCTAAAAAGTAATGCATTAATTGGTTCTTGTGTTAATCACGCATGTTAACAGCGATTAATTGACAGCCCTAATAATAAGTAATGTGAAGGGGCATCAAATTACAGTGTATGGCAGCCATATAATGTTTCATCATGTCCATAAAACTGTACCACATTTTTTTTAGTTTTGGCTAAGTTTCAGTGTCTAGTTTTTTGGGGTTTTTTTTACACTTTTAGCAACTGCAGTTTTAACTGGTTTAAATATTTCTACTAAAAGATGCTTCTTGCTTGAGAACTCCAATCATGCCTCTCTTGTTATAAAAAAAAAAATTAATCTATTAACCAGATGTTTTAAACAGAGTATATGTTTGCAAGGGCAGATCCTGAGAGGGTGCAGCGGCATGGTTTTATCCCTGTTTTGGACCACGCTGAAGGAGCAGCAGCTGAGATCTATATTTAAGTGCCTGAAGCAGCCAAGTATTCTGCCTCCTCTTGGTTCTCCCTCATTTCACCGTTGTGCCCAGCAGCACATCCCTTCCCCTTTTACTTCCCCTGTCTGCCCACCTCTGGCTCAGCCAGGGACAGGAGCAGGCAGTGTGTGTTGGAGGGATGAAAGGGGAAGGAAGGTACCACTGAGCATGGAGGAGAAGAGAGGGAGTGCTGAGGGGCAGAGCTGGGTTTTTACCTGCTTCAAGAACTTAATCCCTGGCTGATGTCTCTGTGATGTTGTCTACCAGCCTGCCGGGGGGTGGACGAGGGGCAGGGGCAGGGGGCGACTGGGAATGGGGGAGTGCAGCCACCCTAGCAGCTCTGTTCATTGCTCCTGCACTATTCTTTACAAAATCCTGGATCTGCTCATGTGTTTGCTGTTTATTTCTCATTCAATATATTAATCTCTATTACCTTTTTATATTCCCAAGATAGGCTAGCTTTACTTTTGTTGCTCAGTTTCTAATGTTGTCCCTTCTGTGGTGATATAGGCCATAGAACGGACTGGGCAGTACTGCTCAAAGCAGGGAATACCATTCCCGAAAATTGTGCTGAGTGAAGAGGAAAAAAGGCATCCGAAAGAGTGCTATGTGTTTATGGATGAAGAAAATCTAAAGACTCCCATAGTTCTCCATTTCCCACTGGTGAACAACACATTCAGGAAGTTCAAGGTACCTGGTAAGCAGCTTGAATATCAACAAGAGAGAATTATTACTTGGCTTATTACTGTTGCCAACCAAATGGAAAAACTCTTGGGTACTATAGCTGGTACCTTTTGGAACTGAAGTTCATTCTTTCTATTCAGTGTGCTCAATGTATGCAGTGGGGCAACCAGATGTCATGACCATTGCTATTTCCCATTTTGTAGCAGTGAAGGTATAAATCTGTAAATACTATTTACTTAAGTAACTCAGATTTAGGTAGTAGCAGGACCTTGATCACTGTAATCAACTCTATCCCATGTGGATGTCAAGATAATAGACGGCAGGACACTGAAGGCTTTGGATCTTCAGAAGAGGGGATTCTGGCATCTTGGAATTATTTGCATGTTTGATGTTGATGCCAGATATTTTTTGCCACTTGTTCTTGCCTCAAGTAAATCCAGTGTTGAATGGACTATGGTCAACAGAAATTTCTTCCATGGCTGGTGTAGAGAATCCTGCACAATTTTTTGTCATTCATGGGAATTGACAGTGTGCACTCCTCAGTCACATAGGTCCGTTGAATCTCCCAGCTGTTCCAACAGCAAAGAGTAAAATGGAAACATTTTTATATCACAAGAAGGAAAATTTACTTTCTCTAGGTTGGTACCTTCATAGATGTGCAAGCCTACTTAATGATAAAATGTCACTCTACATTTCCTTTCAACATTGAGCAAATCAAGTTGGTTTCCCTTTTTTACAGGGGTGGAACGCAGTCCTGCAGAGCTGGCAGAAGGAACAGTGCCTCTTGCTGGTTGCTGCTCACCTTATAACTTGCTGAATATGACCTACTGCAAGGAGGACTTTGATAAACTGCTAAAGCTCACTGACTACAATGTCCAGAATAACAGAGACCTGATTCTGCAGGCTTTCCGCGCATCCATATCACGAAAGAAATGCTGCAGCAACTGAAATGGCGCAAGCCTTGGGAGTTCTTCCATGCTATGCATTTCCTTTAACATGACAATAAGGAGAATTCCTCATGATCATGACGTGATTTAATGCATTATTCATTAGATGTACAACATAAAAATGCTTCAGATTTAAAACTCAGTTCTTTCTAATATTACACTAATATGGTCATGAGTCTTGACCATGAAGTTAGAATTTTTATGTAGGAGTGGCTGGTTATTTAATAAATAGATAGTGTGAATCTCAGCCAGATCTACGCTGACCATATGTTACTATCCAACAGTGACTTGCAGAAAATAAGTTGGCATTCTGTCCAATGGTCATGCATCCAGGTCACAAAAACACTTCCACCAGTGACACCTTTGTTGGCAGTCGCAGCAGAGACTAAGAAGTAAGCAAGCCATGGAGATGGAGAAATGTGTTAAAACCAGAAATGGATGCTGCAGATTTGAAATAAGGTGAACTGATGATGTTAGAAAAGTATTCCCTGCTCCTGCCCATCTGGTGTTTGGCTACATGGAGAACTTTATTTTCTAGGCCTGTCAAGCCCCCACCTTTCCCAAGTACTAAAATTAATTTTAAAGAGGGAGAAGTAGGTCTGAAATTGGATACTATCAAATGTCAAGTCCAGGTGCAGCATCTTCAGTGTTTCTCTGTTTCTTTCCAACCACAGAGCTCATACAGACTTTAAATTTAACAGTTGTAAACAGTGACCTGTAAGCAGCACAGAAACAGAGCCATGGGACTCTTCAGCCTGGAAAAGCGCAGGCTCAGGGGTGGCCACCTATAAGTTTATCAGGGGTGCTTACCAGGATCTGGGGGAACGTCTGTTCACCAGAGCACCCCAAGTGGTGATAAGGTCGAACGGTCACAAACTCCTCCATGACCGTTTCAGGCTGGACATAAGGAAGAACTTCTTTATTGTCCGAGCCCCCAAGGTTTGGAATAGACTGCCGCCGGAGGCGGTTCAAGCACCTACTCTGAACGCCTTCAAGAGACATCTGGATGTTTATCTTGCTGCAATCCTATGACCCCTGCCAACTTCCTGCCCCTTGGGCAGGGGGCTGGAATCAATGATCTTTCAAGGTCCCTTCCAGTCATAATGTCTATGAAATCTATGACTACTCATCTATGACAAGTATGCAGGAAACTCTCACCATGAGCATTCTCACCGTGTCCTGGATAATGCTGCTGCATAACTGCCAGCTGCACTGCTTGTGCTATGGTTTGCAGCTAGCCTTCAAATTGGAACTTGAGGCTTTTCTTCACCTTGTCCCATTGAATGACTTTGTAAATTGATTCTAATATGCCAAGTTAATGGGAAAAGAAATCAGCCAACTGTGTGTATAGCAAAAGCATATCTACTCCTTTTACCGTTGCCACCCTTTTGTTTTCTTTTTTTGCTGTCATCATTAATTGAATATATTTAGAGAAATAAATACAAATGTTCTGAAAGATCATTACCTTCATTAACATAGAGATTAAACCTCTGTTGTTTTCTTATAGTGTGTCCCTACTGGTACAAGTTATGCTGGCAACTAGGCCTGTGCGAAGCAGCTAGTATTCAGTTCGGATTTGGATTCAGCTGATTCGGGGGACAGTGATTTAGTTCGGTGATTTGAATCGCTGTCCCAAATCAATTTGCCTGAATCTGATTCAGCGATTCGGCTGCTGTCGAATCAGCCGAATCTCTGAATTGCACAGGCCCCATCCCCCGCCCGCTCTCAATGGCTGCCCTGACCAGCCCAGCTCCCAGCTCTTTCAAAAAAAAGCCCACGCTCACCAGCTGCTGCCAGGTGGGGAGTGATCCCCACTGCCCCACGCCACATGGGAGGGTTCTATCACGATCTCCCTGACCATCACCCACTGTCCCAGCCCCCCCCATGGCTGCTCCATCTGCCCCAGCTCCCAGCCCTTTAAAAAAACAAACAACAAAAACCCTGAACCCACCAGCTTCAGCCCAGGAGGGGGCAATCCTTGCTGCCCCCCACTGCCCCACGCTGCATGGGGGGCTCTTCCATGAGCCCCAAGAAGCTGCAAGGCTGCTGCAGCAGCTGGTGAGTGCGGGGTTTCTTTTCTTTTTTTTTTTTAAAGGGCTGGGAGAGCAGTCATGGTTCAGGGGGCTCGTAGCAGAGACCTTCATGCAGTGTGGAGCAGTGGGGATCACCCCCCCTGCCTGGCAGCACCCAGTGAGTTGGGGGCTTTTTTTTAAACAATGGGGCCAGGCAAGGCAGCCTCCTCCAGCCCCCCCCTCCCCCATCCCCTACTTACCAGCATGGAGTTTGGTTCCAGCTCCCTGCTGCAGCAAGTGGGGACTGCCTGAATCTTTTCCGAATTGATTCGGAGAGCTTCAAATTGATTTGGACCTTTTAATTGGTCCCCTGATTTGATTTGGATTCAGAGATTTGGCCACTGAATCGGGCCAAAACTCCCCCGAATTGAATCAGCACCCAAAGCTTTGCACAGCCCTACTGGCAACATCACACTTGCAACTAGCCCACTGTGAGTAATGGACTCTTAAATCTCTGGGTGAGCAGCCTTTCAATGCACATTTTGTTTAAAAAAAAAATAGATATCTTCTTGTTTTATTTAGCTCTAGAAAAACAAAAATGGCACATCAGGGTGCCCATGACACAAAAACCCTCAAGCCAGGGCTGCTGAGAGAGTAATTATGTGATCTGGGGCTTTTTTGTAATGCAGATCAGCTGGCAATGTTGATTTGGTGGCTACACAATAGTCAACCTGGACTTCACATCTGCAAGCTTAGGGTACGTGAGAGGACGTTTTAGTGAGCATTAGTATTTTAAAAGCTGGGTCTTTGCCTATATAACAATGGTGACACTACATTTTTCTGGTTTTTAGTGCGTCAGTTAACCTGTAAACAGATGTGCGCACATAACTTTAAAGGCCAATAGGAGATGCACATGTGTTGCAAGGCAGAACTTGAGCCTTTAAAGTGCAACATAATATTCCAGGCTCTCCCATGCTATATCACTTAATTACTTTCAGGGATCCAGTTTTGCAAGGCAGTATCCTGTTGTGTTATTGTTCATACTCCATAGCTATCTTTATGCAATAACACAAGACTCTTTTTGCATCCATCAACCAGTAAATCTGCACCTCAGCTCAATTTGGAGTGTGGGGGTGGGCTTGGGAAACCTGAAGAAAATCAACCTGGATGATTTTTTTTTTCAACAATGCTAAAAGTGGGTGCATGCAACCTTTCACCACTCGTGGTTGGCTACAGCGCTGGGTTGAGCTGAGTTTAAATGAACACATGAACGACGTATGCCCCGGCAGCTGGGGGGACGCAGTGGCGGTGGGAGTGTGATGGCGGCAGCGGGAGTACGGCAGTGGTAAGCGGGAGCTGCCACAGACACTGCCAGCACTGTTGGCAGGGGCGGGGAGGAGGGCAAGCAGCAACCACCTGCCGGCCTTTTTGTAGGGGATGCACTGCCACACTCAGGGGGTGTACGTGCACCCCCTAGACGTCACCCCTGAGCCAAACTTTTTGAACATTCCTGCCAATTTATAAGCTTTTGAAGTGGAGGCAGCAGTATGGAATCCCTTGAATCAAACTGAAAAAATAAGAAAGTAGTGTGAGAGTTTGAATAAGCATGTCAGTGGGCCTGTCTTGCTGGAACAAGCCAGGTAACTCTGTCCCTACTTTACCCTGGAACTTCAAGCTACCTCCAGAGGGTCTGCACTCACTTGTTATGCCCATCTGTGGGCTGAGGTTAAGATTATTTCTCACTGCTAGAGAATCATGCTGACTCAGTTTCTTTCCATCTTCTCCATCGTTGTCATCCACCTTTTAGCTCCTCTGTTTCATTCTCTCTAACAGCAGGGGCAAATGCCAAATGAAATGTCTGCATCCATATCTAACTGTAATGCATGCACAAGTCAAAGGTGACATATGCAACTAATCAGATCTGTCCATAATGATCATTTTGCCTAATCATGGTGGGTGGGGGAGGGGGAGCAGGTGGGAGGCACTTGTTTGGGACTGCTGAGACATTGTCTGGTCTCTGCAAGTACCCTTGAAGGCAGCTTAGGCTTGGCTTCAAGAGTAAGGTAAGTGGAGAGCCTGATCTCCTTTCCAGTCTGAGTCCCCAGCCTCTTAGTCCTTCACCCATCCTGGTTCTCCATGACCCTCACTCAGAGAACTATCATCCAGTTCTGCTCCTCAGGGAGAGATGTCACCTCCTGTTGTGGTGATTCAGTGCAACCCACAGTTCCAAGAAGCACAGCAGATGGTCTCCCAGGCATTTATTGGAGCAGAGGCCAGCAGCCAGAGGTTCTCTGTGCCCTCTAAAGGGGTTAAGCAGTTCCTCTCTCCCCACTTCAGCCTGCACAGCCCTGACCACTCCAAAGATAATCAGCTGTTCATTTCCAATCTCTTCAGCTCCCTAGAACTTAACTATTTGTCTCAGGCACCAAACTCTTCTGTTCTGAGACCTGCCAGATGGTTTTTCCAGCCAGTTCTTCCTTTTGTAGTGTTTATCTCAACATTTACTGGCTGCTGATCATCTCACCTTTGTTGACATGTCAACAAAACCATTCAAGACTTCTTATGCTAAAGGTCCAGTCCTGCACAGGATAAGGAGGTAAACAAAGTCATATGATATTATAACAACATGAACACAATTAATACATGAATATCATAATAAAATCTGGTGTTTGTCACACTGCATGTCTAAGACTAGACAAGTAAAAGTCCTTTTCACAACCTGGATGTGAACATCTGTAGTGCAACTTGGATGTGAACAGGGCACCAGCTTTGGACACCAACTTAATGCGGGTGCCAGAATGGTGTCCTTATCTATAGAGAGTCTGCGCCCTACCAACAGCAGCAGCTGGGTGCACAGACACTGCGGATGTAGTAGCAACAACTGAAGTAGGCAGATCTTGTCACAGCAGAAGCAGCTTGGGGACTTTTTTTGAGTCCCTAGAGCAAGTAAGACTCCATTTCCTCAGACCCCTCTGGTACTGAGCAGCACATCTCCTCTCCACT